CACTGTCTCACCAGACCTCAGAGCACAGTTGATATTGATCTGGGTATTTGTATGACGTCAAGTTACGGTGACACCACCTACCATTACCTTTGCATAAATCCATGACTTCTGGCATGCCAGTGTGTATACTGCTTGATTAAGATTAATTCTTAAATTCTGAGTCTAATTTTAGAGATGCGCGTCTCCAAAATTTTTTTTAGTTCTCATATCAAAATATATACTAAAATAAAACCAATACTTTCAAATATACATTCAGATTTAGGAAACATTTTTAAGCACTAGTTTGATGAACAATTAATCTGGTATTTATTTGTTCCTATAGGCATCATTTTACGATACAGCATACCACCGTAAAGTTCCCTCCCTGTGTCTTTTCTATAAATATATTCATGGTAATTGCTCGTGTGAGCACTTTGCTATGGTACCTAGAGTTTTTTTTTTTTTTTTAATTTAAGTGCAGCACTAGACTGGTGTCGAGATCTCATCAATACAAAGATGAGCTGGCTAGATGTAACCGTAAAATTTATGCTACCAAATTTTTTGTTTTGTTTTTTGTTTTTGGGGTTTTTTTCTCGCACTTTTCGCTTGTGGAACTCCCTTCCGGCTCCATGCTTTCAGCCAACTTTAATCTGCAAATTTTGAATGCAATGTCGTTCTAATATCTCCTGAATACTCTTTCCTCTTCCCGCCCATTATTAACGTTTATGTTCCTAATTCTTCTACACCCTGCTGTAACCTTTTGTGTCTTAGTGGCTTTATTGCCTCGTATGGGGTGACACCGATTAAAATTTTTAAAAGAATAGTCCTTGGACAAATTGCAACAGTCTATTATATTGCGTACTTTCTTTTCGAAATATGAAGAAACAGCTTCATCTATCTGAGACTAAAAGAAGCATAGATTTTCAAACCATAGTTTTACCAGGAAGCTATTACTTTAAGAATATTTAATTAAACACAAAGAATTACGAAATCTTGTTGAGGCACAAAATAGGATCTACTGGATTGGCATCAAATTATTCTCGGGATTTTTCATTCTTCTCCTAATTTATACTTTTTTCTATTTTCATATCATTGAGTAAATAGAGATTCAATTTACTTTCGTAAGGGATTTTTCTTTTCCTTTGATCCAATTTTAGTGATCAAATGTCACGTCGCTAAGATGAAAACACTATCCTACTTAAATAAATGAGTTTTTTTTTTTTCTTTTTTTTAAACCTTCTCTTCTTTATCAACTCTGCTGGATCTTCGGAAAATCTTACCCAAGAAAATAGATTTCACACTGTATGATTTGGATTATCAGATTCTTGGATTATCAGATTCTTATAACTCCAACATTTCATTATTACAAACTTAGTTTTTATTTTCCTCCATTCTCCGAAACAAATATATAGTTATTTTTCTTTGATGTGACGTATCTCTTCAGGACTTTGAAGATCATGGCCCTCCACAATATCCTGCTCTTTGTAGCTCTAACCAACTTCCGAAATATTACCATCCTTCAGCTATCGCTATATCATTTATTCACATAATCTCATTAGGTAGATTACTTAATCATGGCTCTCCACAACTTCCTGTCTCTTGTAGTTAAATGTAACTTTCGAAATTTTACCATCCCTTTTCGACATCGTATTGTCATTCGTTTACGCAAATTGCAGATTACTCGCTGTTTACCTCTGTCCCTTTTGCCTTAAGTATGTCATGTGAGTGTTAGATTCTCCAAGCCCCTTTTCCTCAATATGTCTCTCAGAAATTTCCACTCTCTCTTTCTGATTTTAAGTATAAATGTCCATTTAGTTTTCTTTCAAACTTCCTCGTCGATCACATGTTCTGTTCATGGAATTCTCAGCATCAATCTGTAGACTCACTTCGATTCTCTTATTCATCTGTGACGAAATTGACCAGTATTCACTGCCATGCAGGAGAATAGGGGTGATATAGAAGTTTAACAATCTTTTTCTTTCGTTTATCTCTTAATAGTTTCTTTAGTTTCTAGAAGGCATCTTTTTACGATTCTTTTGTGGCTTTGGATTTTTGTGACACATTTTCACTCGTTTGTTACTAAACTACCTAAACAGTTAAACTTGATTCAGATGTCTCCCTTTAGTAGATCACACCTATGACTGCTTCTTTTGCGGACGACTGTACAATTCTGTCCTCTTACAGTTAATAGGTAGTCCTTTCTTCTCGATTTTCTTTGCAAGCGTTAAGAGTCCTTCCAGATGTCTTTCCGAGTCTTAATCAATACAGTACTACCCACGTGCCTTATGATGTTAAGATTATGTCCATTGATAAAGTCTTGGTAGGTCTTCTAATCAATTTTTACCTTATAAGGGACCCCCAACACCGCCCCGACATTTTTTCTTTGTATGGCTTCGATTGAATTCTCCTTTTCACACGTGCAATTAATCAGCTTTTATGCTTAAAAGAAATTCAACTGGAGGAAAATCTTGTTATAAACAGTTGAAGAACTTGCTTCTATTGCTGAATAAAGGTTCGTCATCGATGGTGTTAAATAAGAATTTAGACTGACAAAAGCAAATTCAGGCATAACATTTATACAGTAGCAAATTAAAAATATAATCACAAATAAAATAAAATTATATTTTCATCGTAAATTTACTTCAGGTTTGGAAGGAAGCATCTGAAGAGCCCGTATGTAAATTACCTTGCCTTGTGCCATCTTGTTGTAGATGTTTAAATATCTGTGTCATCGTTTGAATTTTATTTTATTTGTTAATTTTTTGTTGTTGCTTGTTGCTCTAGACTATGATGTTTTCACCTATCCTTAATTTTGTGTGTATTTTGTTCTCCCCATTGCTATTAATTATCAAACTTCCTACTTCAGCCCCTCCCACCAACTTTTTTTTTATTTTGAATGTGTTTATATTAGAGTGTTGCTTATCAATGCTGACAAACTGATGCGACAAGAATGTATTAAGTCAAACCACCCCATTTTTTCCGTTAGTATTAGACACCAGAACTTATACTAAATCATAACTTAATATGAATTCTTTCGTATTTCACATGTTTTTTTTTTTTCACAGTTTAATAAGAGTAGATATGCTCACCTACCATCCGATCGACACTCCTTCCATGTCTATCGAAAAAGAGTAGAGATTCATCCCTTGTTCCATGATCAGAATATGATTTACCAGTTCTCTTTCTTTCTCTTACCAGGGCCACAATGATTTAACCGTCTTAACTCTTTGGTGATCAGACTAACCAATGGCTGTGACTTTCCATTTTGAGGATACCGGGTTAGCATTTTGTTGGCTGCTGCTTCCGACTGGTCGTTAGGAGACCGAACTCTTTTGTAGCGCTTAAAGAGGGTGCTCCGATCAACACTCTCATAATATCAGGGTATCTGTAGTGCCATGTCGTATATGGGTAGCTGTCCCTGCATGTATTTCCTGTGGACAACCCTGAGGCCACATTATGCTCTCAACCACTCACTGGCTAGTTTGTGTTGCCATTGACAACAGTGATAATTATGGTGGGCTTTTTTTCTCTCTCCTCAAAAAATATCTCATGGAAATCACAACAAAAAGAAATAAAATGAAACTAGTTAACAAAAAACGAAAAAAAAAACCTTACCCGCCTCAAACTTTCTTTCTCCAACATTCGTGAAATCCGTTCTCACTTCTGCCGTATAGAATCTTTTCTCCTGGTACGGTTACCAGATATCTTGCCCAATGTGAAACCAGCATGAATTCTTCCATTGCTACCAATGAATCCTTGGCTCCAGAGTATTTTCCCCTTTGCCGAAAAGTTTCCAGTGTTCACATGCATGGACTTGGTGTTTTACGTCCGGGATAATCTTCCGATGACCAAGAAATTGTCTCTCGAGGCCGCCTACTATTCTTTCATGTGCTTCCGTCTTTCGCTCCTAAACTCTGTCAGTTTTCTCTTTTTCCTTTATCACTCCCCATCTTCCCAAGATTGCAGTATATTAGACGCATTAGCTAACAGCATAGAACATCTTTGTCTTCGGTGACTTTAAAGTTCACCACAACAGGTGGCTGAAACATTCCAGAGTTACTGATGATGCTGGTATACAGACATTAAATTTTACCATTGCCCAGTTCCTCACTCGTGAACTTCCCTACTCGTTTCCCTAGCCAAACCGAGCAACAGGCTTCTAGACTGGATCTATTTAGTACCTCCTCTCCTCGCTCTTGCCGAATTTCGCAATACTGCCTTTCTTAGTACCTCGGACCACTCTGTGGGTAGCTAGTGATATCTCCTTCCAAGAAACAGTTAAACAAGAACCTCCTATCCATAAGACCTCTTTCCGTTGTCAGCACGCTGACTGGGACTCATTCCGGGATTTTCTTCGTGGTGCCCCTTGGACTGACTCCCATTTGAAAATTGCGCCACTGAGCTTCCTTCTTGGTTCAAAGCCGCCATGGAGGGTTCCATCCCTTCTCGGTAATACCAGGTGAAACGGCAATCCTCTCTAGACTGTATGAAGTTGAGCGCAATACTGAACTGGCGACGAGATCTCATCAATTTCCAGTTGAGCTAGCAAGATGTAGTCGCAACTTCTACGCTAACAGTTTCTTTTCTCGCACTTCTCGTCTGTGGAACTCTCCTCCTGCTCCATGCTTTCCAGTCAACTTTAATCTTCAAGAATTTAAATGTAATGTCAATCGCTATCTGCTGTCCTCCTGACTGCTTTTTTTCTCTTTTTACTCATTACTAATGTTTCTGTTCCTAATTACTCTACACCCTGTAATCCTTTGCGTGTTAGTGGCTGTACACCCTTGCTTGGGGTGACACTGATTTTTAAAAAATGTAGTGGAAATTCATATTTTATTTTAATAAATGTATCCGTACCAGCTATAGGTTAAATGGCAGAGTAAACAGGGTTCTCTAGCCGTGACTAGCAATCAGACTACGAGAAGGGCAACTCCTGAATTCAAAATTGTATGTAGGCCTAGCGAAGTATATACTAAGCTGTGAAGGAATCAGGAATTTCATAATGGCTCTCTGATCCCGACTGCGGTTGATAAGATACGTGGAGGTAGGTTATTTATGGACAAAAATGATGAATCTAGTGACATTTCTGTTTTAGATAGATAAGGAGACTGTGATAGATAGAGAGGGAAATAAACTGCGATATGAGATAGATAGATAGATAGATAGATAGATAGATAGGAACAGATTGAGATAGATACATACATAGATGAAGAGACTACGATAGATAGATGAAGAAACTGCAATAGATAGATAGATAGATAGATAGATAGATCTATGTGAATCCGTTTAGATAGATACACAGAAAAAGCAAAATGCAGGTGTAGCGACCTTTATTTCTATAACTATATTCACGTCTGACTATTTCCGACGCACGAGACTGTCATAATTAACCTTCTTATACGTTGTAAGCGTCAGCTTTTTTTTTTTTTTTTTTCATATTTTATGTTCGTCTTTGATCAACAGATCAGATTATCTTTTAGGATTATGAAAGAAATAAACTGGTTATTTAGAACGAAATCTTTGGCTATTTCAATATAAAACCCCGTTTTACTTGCTGATTTCCAATTTCCGTTTATTTTTTTATTGCCACCATCAATATTCAGAAGCTAATATTCGATCCTACAGATAATTTTAAGCAGATAATTATACAGTGATTATGAAATAAATAATCGAAAAGTCTAACTGAACAAAAACAGTAGATTTTACTGGGTTTTTTATCGAAAGGATATGAAAGTAGATATCTAAAGCTTTTGATAGTATAATGTTACAATACCTTCATGAGCGAAACCTAACAAAAGGGATTTTGTCAACGGGATTAACGTTTATTTATAGTTGTGTTTCTTTTCTTCTTAATGTGAAAGAAATACACGATCATGCAATGCATATTATACACTGCTTCTTTGCTGTCTATTACAACAACGTTTCGACCGCTCTTATCACTGATCTTCTTCCCTAATTCTGGGAATGTGCAACTTGTAACTCTCAATACTTCCTTATGAGGGTCATCTCTCCACTGAATCGATGTATATTTTATTACTTGAGAAAAGGATTCAACTCGCGACCTCTAGGGAACTAGATGTGACTTGCTAGTTTAGACCTATATACGTAACACATATATACAACAAAGATAGATAGATAGATAGATAGATAGATAGATAGATAGATAGATAATCAGTATCATGCCATGCAAGGCAGTAAAGTAACTACGACACAAGGGTGTTTAAGAATTAGAAACATAAACATTGCTAAGGAGAGAGAACAATAGAAGAGTAATCAGGAGGACAGTAGATAGCGACTGACATTATATTTAAATTTTTGAAGATTAAAGTTGACTGGGAAGTATGGCGCCTGAAGAGAGGTAGATAGATAGGTAGATAGATAGATAGATAGATAGATACTTCATAAAATAATCAAAGATGTAGACAATGAAAACATTAGACTGGAGGATTTGTGAAGCAAATATGGCAATATAGGATACATAATTGAAATTTTCACCAAATCGCTGATTTCTCTGTAATTATTAAGATTATTTTTATATGACACAAGGTCATAACGGTGATAATAAAAGGTGATTGAAAAGTAGCTCTCCATATTAAAATACTTATATTTTATTTATCTCTATTTATCAAAGGCAGGATGTATGTGTATGTGTGTGTGTGTGTGTGTGTGTGTGTGTGTGTGTGTGTAACGAATGCACGGCCGCAATTTTCGATGGATTTGCACCAAAATTTGCATGCACATGCTCCAAGTTAGCGGGAAGACCAAGACTGACTTTGCATTTCCCAACTCCCATCGATAGTGGAAATAATCGATTTTTTCATGCTTCTACGGCAGTTTTCATGTAGTTTGCGGCCATTTTCTACTGACCAGAGTGATATCCTATAGCTGGCTGCCACGAATAGGCAGGAAGAGTCTATTGGCCAGCGTAAGAGCCAACAGCTGACTGACACGAATTGCGCGAGCATGCAAAAAAAATCGATAGCTGCATTCGTCACAAGTGGGAAAAATTTTAATCTGCATGGCACTTTACTCCAATTGGCTCATTCGCTTGCTTAAACTCAACGTTGATTCTGATTCCGCAGAACTGGGTTGGGTGTGAAAAAGTATTTTTTGTTAACATTCTTTTTTCATTCGGTTTTTCCAGTTACGAGTCCTTTTTTTAAAGCTGATTGTTTTGTGTTCATTTTGTTTAGTTCTTTTTTCGTAACAGATTTAATGTTTAGTATAGAGCTTAGAAAAAATTCGCAGTGTGAGATAGGCAAGAAGTAAAGCATGTAGCAACATCAGCACAGCAAAGGGCACTCCTTTAAAGGCAAGGAAGGGTAAAAATATTTTAAGTCAAGTGATAGCGATTGCTGTATGAGTCGTACGATTTTTGAATCAAGCACGGGCAACGCCGGGCCATGCTGCTAGTTAACTATAATTTTTACAAGAAATGGATATGAATGGAAAGCGTTTAGCATGAAGTTTTATTAAAAATTCGATATGGGCACCAGATTTCGCTACCAGCTTCTCGAGCCGCCCAGGAATCGCATCAACTGATTTCACCAGGAACTCTTGTGGTATAAAAGACATAATTTCTTGTATTCGCCCTTCAAGTTTTTCCAAAGTCTTGGTTTGGTATAGTCGACTTACTCATTTAACCAACACCAAAGAAAAAAGTCACAAGGTGTTAAGTCAAGACTCTTGGTTGGCCGCTCATATATAAAATAGGAAATTACTTTTCAATCATCCTGTAATCAAATGGTCTTCGAGGCAACCTTGCTTGGTAGTATTCTACGGCAGATATCTTGAACGTATATCTTTGTTCAATAACAGTAAATATTCAAGCAAACTTGACGAAAAAATAAAAACAAGAAAGCTCAACGAATATTTATAGACAGTAAGAAAAGAATTTCCCTATTTAACTATGATTTGACCTCTGAAATATTCAGGTTTTCTCCCTAAACACGGTCTGCCATAGTATATAGATAAACTGATATGAAGAAAACGAAAATCGATTTTATGAAAAACAAATCCTATACTCTGTGTAAAATTTATAATCAGGTTCTCAGTCTGCTTTGGTGTTTTAGATCGTTTTACTTTTAACTTTTGGTTCGAACCCAGATAAAATCCATTTTTATCAAAGATGAACAGGTACGTATGAACTTTGTAAGCAGACATTCGCCTTTGAAAATATGTACCTCTCCTGAGCAAAATTCAATTTGCCGTAATCTCTTTCAATAATAGAATATGACACTTTCTGACAAAATTTAAAGAAAGATTAAAATCGGTAGGTAATACACATACTGTTTAACAGCCATCAGCAGCTGCCGTTGATTTAGTAAAGGAGGGTGGATTTATCTGAATTCTGTTTTAAAATATTAAGCTAAGATTTTATTTACTGCTATTAAAATGTTAAATTAATAAAAATTATTAATTTTCGTCTAATAGCAGGACAGTGTTATTTGCTTGCCCCTGCTTATTTTTCAGAGGACCCCACTGATATATGGAAGCACGGTGGAGTAATAGACAGTAAGGACCACATACGATAAAGTTCAAATGATTGAGAGCCGCAAGACATGAACAAAATTTACACGTTTTCCTTAAATACACATTAATATTAGACTGACACCAATGGTATCTTTTAATCCAATAAATAATTATAAAACGTGATTTTTTTTTATTTACCATTTATATCAACTGCGATGCAAAAAAGAGCTCAGCCATATATATATATATATTATATATATATATATATTCACTTTTATATCTACAGACGCACTATCTCTGATATTGAGCACTTTATCCCATAAATATAGCACACCTTAAGAGTATATTTCTTCATATATATATATATATATATATAATTATTTATTTAAAAATATGATTCCAACGATACATAACAGTTCTCATGTTTCAAAACAAGAGCCGAAAACTTCAATATAATTATTAGAATTAAATTGAATTAAAGTACTAAGCTCTGTTCCATCTTCAAGCGAATTTTTTTTTTTTTTGATGGAACAGAGCTTAGTACTTTAATTCAAATAATTATATTGAAGTTTTCGGCTCTTGTTTTGAAACATGAGAACGTTTGAATCATATTTTAAATAAATAATTATATTTATGCTCTACTTTTTGTATCGAGCACTATTTTAAAAAATATAACAAAAATACTAAAGAACTTTGGATTATTTACCTAACGAGTTCTTTCCTATATTCTCTATATTTTTACATATATATATATATATATATATATATATATATATATTAGACTAAATCCTAAGGAACCAGGCAAACTTACCTAGCCAGTTTACCCTGAAAATTCATTTACGTGAAGCCTAGGTAGGTTTGCCTGGTTCCTTAGGATTTAGTCTAGTTTATTGCTCTACTTAGCGTATTGAGCACTCTACGTCTTTCTACTCGTTTGAGTTTTTTTTTCTTTGGACTAAGGACTTAAAGCACTTGGCGATTTGTTTCATCTTCTTCTGATGTTTTTAGTTCTTTCTTTTTTATTTCCAATTTTTTTCCGCAGGTACCGATTTGTCCTGACATATCTGCAAGTTGAGATATCCGAGGTTTTCCAAACGAGTACTGCTATATATATATATATATATATATATATATATATATATATATATATATATAAGAAGAGAAGCTAATAGATTTTTTCAACCGGGCAGAATTTCTTGTTACTATAAAGTTTATAGTTATTATTATTATTATCGAACTAAAAAAAAGTCCATTAATTGCCTAAATTAATTTGATTACGTTTCTTATTGGAAGTTTTAGTTTTCGAACAGTTCCAAGGGGAGATGTCTATAATTTCTTAATATGTTCTCAGTGTCCTTCGTGATTTAGTTCCGCTTCCCCTATCAGCGGGAATGGCTAGTGTTCGAATCCAGAGTTAAGCATGTAAATTCTTCCTTTGGAGGGTTGGCAAAATACAATCTTTGTAAACCCATTTTCGCCCTCAATTTAGTTTTATGCCACTTTGGATAAGTTTCGTAAATATCAATAATTCCCTTGTTTATATCACCAAGCATAAAAAAAAGTTTGCTGGAAAGTTTGCGAAGAATGACGCCCTACTGAAACGCCAATTGAAACATCTCGCAGACCGAAGACAGACAGAATGGCCATAACGGATCAAAGCAAAGAACTGCTAAAATCCCGTTTTCTTAGAGCTTTACCGGATCTAAAAAAAAAAAAAAAAAAACCGCTGATCTTAGGGGCATTACCGCTTTGCTCGGGGTAAAATGATTAAAAAAAAAAACGATCGATTCAAAGAAAAGAAAGAAAAGGCTTTGAAGAAAAAAAAGAAAGAATTCAAAGAAAGGTAAAAGAAATGAACAAAGGGTTGAAAGAAAGAAAGAAAGAAAGAAAGAAAGAAAGACGAAGCAACCAGATTTAATTTAATTCATATTAGTGAGTGGTCTGTGAAAATTCACCACTTTTACTTTCTTTCTTTTTTCGCTTTCTCTCTTTATATATTTCTCTCTTTATATATTTCTCTCCTTATATATTTCTCTTTATTTCTCACTTTATATATTTCTCTCTTTATATATTTCTCTTTATATATTTCTCTCCTTATATATTTCTCTCCTTATATATTTCTCTCTTTATATATTTCTCTCTTTATATATTTATTTATTTCGAATCGTGTTAATTTCTTATTCTCGCTTTTGATAATTAATTTTCTTAATATATTCCTTCGTTCTCTATTTCTCACTGATTTTTTTCTTTCATTTTTTTTTTATTTTTCTTCCTTCTCTGCTTTCTTTTCTCTTTATATTTCATTTTATTCCTTCTTTTTCTTTTATTCTTTTACTTACTTCGTCTCTTTTAGCTTTCCTTTTGTATTTTCTTTCTTTCTTTCTTTCGTTCGTTCGTTCATTTTGCTTACTTAATTTTCAATATCTTTCTCTCATTCTAATTATAGAGACCGAACCGTTCCAAGGAGAGATGTACAGGACTTCTTCTATTCTTCTTTCGTTTTTGATATTTTCAGCTTTTCTTGTTTCTTTTTCTCCATTTAATACCATTCCTTATTAAAATTGTAATTACCCCCCTCTCTCTCTCTCTAGCTTCCATCTCTTTTTCTTTCTTTCTTTCTATATTTCTTTATTTCTCTCTCTCCTCCCCCCATCCCCACATTTCGTTCTTCTACTTCCTAATTTGTACTCTTTACTTTCCCTCCTGTTTTGCCAAATTTTTTTCGGTATTTAAAGCAACTTCTTCATTGAAGCAACCAGAACCATACAAATCTCAACAAATCAGTCTTCAGTTTGCAATACCATAGATTAGTTGTTATGTTTGAAGAGTTCTTCGAAGGCGCAAGAATCGAGCCTAAAGTTAACAGGCATCTGAAAATCATCTCTAGTATTAATTACAGTAATCTTGGAAGGAAGGAAAGAAGGAAGGAAGGAAAAACAAAAGGACTGAAAAAGTGAATAATGAATTCAAAGAAAAAAGAAACAATCAGAGCACAGAACCAAAAAATACGAAAAAGCAAAACAAAGAAATTTCATAACAAGCTGAAAATTCACGGAAATTAAAAGAAAGAAAGAAAGAAAGAAAGAGAAAGAAGGAAAGAAAGAAATTATTCAAAGAAGAGTAAAAGAAAGGAAAGAAAGAAACAAGACATTCAAAGAAAGAAATAATGCATTCAAAAAAGTTAAAAGGAATAAGTTTGCCTCAGGCCAGGTTCACACCCCTTCCCGGTTGTTTGAGCAGGAGAAAAAGTTTAGCCCTTGCTTCCTGTTTAGGATTGGGTTTCCTCTCCCTTCTAAAGTCTTCTCATTCTCTTTCACTCCCAGTAACTCCTTGCGTCTTAGGGGCATTATCGCTTAGCTCGGGCTGCAATGATTAAAAAAAGAAGAAAAAAACGATCGATTCAAGGAAAAGAAAGAAAAAGCTTCGAAGAAAAAAGAAAGAATTCAAAGAAAGGAAACAAAGGGTTAAAAAGAAAGAAAGAAAAAAAGAAAGAAAGACGAAAAGAACAAAATAAAAAGAAATAAAGACAGCGATAATTTAGTTCTCGGAAAGAAACAAAGAATACCGAGAGAAAAAACTCAATCACGAAGGAATGAAAGAAGGAAGCAAACAGTAGAATGAATTAAGGCGGGAGAAAAATGTAAAAATAATTGCATCTAGTGATCCTAACAAACCTTGCGTTGTTTTTCCGCCATGTTTTCGAAAGTCTTTATGGAGCGATTGGTTTTCAGATCAACGCTTACTTCAAATAAAACCACCTTTTCATTATTTTTTTTTTTAATTCCTTTTTTTTTAACTATATTTATTTTATTTCGGAATTCGGGTAAAATGAATTTTATATTGCACGAATCCATTATTGTTTGTGATTATTTCAATGCTAAAGTGCTTAATGTGAATAAAAAAAAAATCCAAAGAGACAGCAGATCTGTTGTTCTGGAATGTTTACAGGGAATATTTTAATTATAAAAAAGAAAACAATTCTGATTACAAATTATAATTGATTCTATTATTCTATGGTAAACTAAAAGAATCGTTTATTTTTATTCAATTGAATTTGTTGTTTTCGAATATATTAAAAAATGAATGTTTTGTTGTATTCTCGAATACTTCAAGCATAATTAACGCAATTGAATAACTTTAAAATCATTTTTAATGTTAAAATAATTTAAAATTATAAAACTGAAACAATATCATTTCATTTAGGTTTTAAATTACGAATTGCCATTTGAAGAATACCCGTCCACTATTCAACATTATTTTACTTTTATTATTTTGAAGTTTTTGTTAAAGTAGAGAATTAAAAAAAAAACACGTAGCACCATATGGTATAAAAGAAGGTAAAAACTGAATGTTTGTCTTGAAAATGCAGTGAAAACTCCTCTTTCATGTTTAACTTGGGATCAAATAGATAATAACCATTTCAGTGCTTAGGAATATCATTGATGAGAGACTAAAGGTCTTAAAATTAATGATTTCACAAAGATTAATTAAATGACAATTCTCCTATAGGGCCTAAGCACCATAGTTTGAACTCGGCTCTACAGGATACAAAGCAGGAAACATAATATATACTACTACTACTACTACTACTACTACGAAGAAGAAATAAGTAATTTTATTCAGTAAAAAAGGAAGCCAACACATACAAAAAGAATTCCAAGGGTGCAAATAAACCATAATACACCTACTGCAGTGGCAAAGAACCTAAAATGAAAACAAAAGTAAATGCAATGGACCAAATGCAGAAACGACAGCAAGAAAAGCCTCTTCATGGTCAATACTCTGCCCTTACCAAAAAGGCTGATATAGATATACCCAGTACCCATTAGTCATTAAGTAGTGCAGGGTTAAAAGCTGAAAACGAAGGTTTTATTCTTGCCGCACGGGTCCAATGCTTGCTAACTAGAAATTACTATGCGCACACTGAAAAATTGTTAACCTGAAATGCAGATTCTGTCACAAATATCTAGAAAAAGTTGACCATATTGTATCAGGTTGCACAAGTGTTAGCACCAACTGAGTATAATACTCGGTGTGATAAAGTGGGCCAATATCTACACTGGAAAATATGTAACTTTTACGGAAAGGAAAGTGTAAGAAACTGGTTTGAACATCACCCTGACCCGGTTACAGAGATAGGACCTGTGATAATTTTATGGGACGACTTTACAAGACAACAATCAAAGTTAATCGCCCAGACATCGTGATCCACGACCACAAGAACAAAATGCGCTTTCTTATTGACATGGTATTTCCTGCGGATTGTAATGAATATTTGAACATCTTCAAAAATGTATCAAAATACAAGGATCTTGAAATCGAAATCTCAAAAATGTGGCACATGAGGACATCAATAATTTCAGATGTGGTTGAAACCCTCGGATTGATTAGAAAATGGTTCGATAGACTCATTGAAGAGATTCCTTGAGACCCAAGTCTTAAAGAAATACAAAAGATTGTATTTACAAATACAGCTCATATATTACACAGAGCTTTATCTATGTAAAATGTGTATGATCTTAGTTTTTTTGTTTTGTTTTTGTTTTTTGCTAGGTGTAAAAGTGATCAGTCATGAAGCCATTTCTGACATTAGGTTTCTGGTTGGAACCCGAAAGGAAATGTGTATACAACAAAAATCAAAGGAAAAAAAATAATAATGATGATGATAATAATAATAATAATAATAATAATTCAAACTAATTATATGTGTTGATATGTTAATGAACTTTAAAAGCTTAATGTCTATAAGTATGTGTAGAAATAAACCTCGGCTTCTAATACCCAAAACGTTTTAGGCTACGTCAGAGTTTCTTTACAATGGGGGCAATCAAAAACGTGCCTGCCATTCTAAATATTGACTTCAAATTTGAACAGTCAATATCATTAGCATGTTGCTTTCAACGTCGAAAAGTAAAACTCACTGTTTTCTTCTAATACTGGAGATTACCTTTTCTCCCTTCGCCATTTCATTTAAACGTGAATTGATCAGACAGTGTAACTGGAAGATGTATAAATATATATAGTGTTTCTGCACGATGCATGAACCACTAATAAAAACGTAACTGAGGGGAAATAAATAGGACCAGTAGCAGGTGAAATGTTCCTTTTTATAAGCATTTGTACAGCTTCGGAATCCAAAGAGAGGGAGACAAGAGACGACAAGACTAAATAAGAAGGAATAACAGAACAATTACATGAAAGCAGAAAGAAAATATTCTGAAACTCTATTGAATCTATGGTGAGTAAAAAATACAATTCACTTGAATCCAATTCTAAACGCTTTCATTGTCATCATTTTTTTTAGGCTTTAAATTTAATCTAGTACAGGGCGAAAAGAAATAAGAAAGATTTTGCTTCAAGAATCCAAATTGAAATGTCCTGAAATAAATTTACAGAGCAGATATACACAGCTGCCTAGACCACAAGACATCCACAATAATATTTACTTTCTTCTTCTTTTATACGCCGAATTCCTTCAGTATGTTGGCAATCATGGCTCTCCCCAACTTCCTAACCTTAGTAAGTTTAAGTAATATTTGTCCTCTTACTATCCCTCCTTGTCCTTATTCTTTTCATTGATTTACACAAGTTCTTTGGTAGGTTACTGCTTGTTCTCCTCTGTTTTGTTATCTTCAGTAAATACTGTG